CTGGTTTTTGCTTTTGACTTTCTTTCTTTTTTTCTCCAGTCCAGTCTAGTCCTGATAAGCTCAGCAGAGGTCTGTAGGGGTCAGTAGAGTCCAGTAGAGTCCAGTAGACGTGTAGACACAGCATTAAGACGAGTTCTGTGCTGACAGGAAGAGGCCTCAATCAGAGGATGAAGAAGAGGAGGATGACAACGAAGAGGATGGCGAGCAACACGCCGATAGCGCACCACTGACGACGATCTGTTGAAATACACAGTGTTAATAACTGTCACTAAGTGCAACTAACTACAGCATAGCTAACGGCAACTACTACTACTACAGCATTACTAACTGCAACTAACTACTGCATAGCTAACGGCAACTAACTACAGCATAGCTACCGGCAACTACTACTACTACAGCATAACTAACTGCAACTAACTACTGCATAGCTAACGGCAACTAACTACAGCATAGCTAACGGCAACTACTACTAACTACAGCATACTAACTGCAACTAACTACTGCATAGCTAACGGCAACTAACTACAGCATAGCTACCGGCAACTAACTACTAACTACAGCATAACTAACTGCAACTAACTACTGCATAGCTAACGGCAACTAACTACAGCATAGCTAACGGCAACTACTACTAACTACAGCATTACTAACTGCAACTAACTACTGCATAGCTAACGGCAACTAACTACAGCATTACTAACTGCAACTAACTACTGCATAGCTAACGGCAACTAACTACAGCATAACTAACTGCAACTACTACTAACTACAGCATTACTAACTGCAACTAACTACTGCATAGCTAACGGCAACTAACTACTAACTACAGCATAACTAACTGCAACTAACTACTGCATAGCTAACGGCAACTAACTACAGCATAACTAACTACAACTAACTACTGCATAACTAACTGCAACTAACTACTGCATAGCTAACGGCAACTAACTACAGCATAGCTAACGGCAACTAACTACAGCATAGCTAACGGCAACTAACTACTAACTACAGCATTACTAACTGCAACTAACTACTGCATAGCTAACGGCAACTAACTACTAACTACAGCATTACTAACGGCAACTAACTACTAACTACAGCATTACTAACGGCAACTAACTACAGCATAGCTAACGGCAACTAACTACAGCATAGCTAACGGCAACTAACTACTAACTACAGCATAACTAACTGCAACTAACTACTGCATAGCTAACGGCAACTAACTACAGCATAGCTAACGGCAACTACTACTAACTACAGCATAACTAACTGCAACTAACTACTGCATAGCTAACGGCAACTAACTACTAACTACAGCATAACTAACCGCAACTAACTACAGCATAACTTACCGCAACTAACTACAGCATAGCTAACTGCAACTAACTACTAACTACAGCATAGTTAACCGCAACTAACTACTAACTACAGCATAACTAACCGCAACTAACTACTAACTACAGCATAGTTAACCGCAACTACTACTAACTACAGCATAACTAACCGCAACTAACTACAGCATAACTTACCGCAACTAACTACAGCATAGCTAACGGCAACTAACTACTAACTACAGCATAACTAACCGCAACTACTAACTACAGCATAGCTAACCGCAACTAACTACTAACTACAGCATAGCTAACCGCAACTAACTACTAACTACAGCATAGCTAACCGCAACTACTACTAACTACAGCATAACTAACCGCAACTACTAACTACAGCATAGCTAACCGCAACTAACTACTAACTACAGCATAACTAACCGCAACTAACTACTAACTACAGCATAACTAACCGCAACTAACTACTAACTACAGCATAGTTAACCGCAACTACTACTAACTACAGCATAACTAACCGCAACTAACTACTAACTACAGCATAGTTAACCGCAACTACTACTAACTACAGCATAACTAACCGCAACTAACTATTGCATAGCTAACTGCAACTACTACTAACTACTGCATAACTTATCTACAACTAACTATAACCACTTCCAAAAATACAGTGCTAATAACTTTTAACTAACTACAACTTTCACTATCAATAACCCCAACTATTGGTGTTCCTGATGTCTGATCAATACTGATGCCATCAGAGTACTTAGATCTGGTCCAAGAGAAACCTGAACCCGGATCAGTGAAGGACCAACTGGAGTAAACACCTTCAGAGCTAAAAGCTATATATCCCTTAATTATTCTTTTGATTGATTTCGGCGACTCCTCAGCAGAAACACTGAGGGTGACATCACGTGTTGCCGGGCAGAATTACCGCTGGTCATGTGAGACACTTTGGCCAGTTTCTTCATGACGTTGTCCAATCTGGACTGAGTGTTGTCCACCTCGTGATGAAGTCGTCCAACATCCTGCAGGAAAAACACAGAACCACTTAACAAGTCTGAGCAGGAAACAACCACAGACCCTCTCTTCCCTCAAAACCCCGACCGCCAGAGGCTCGTCCCCTCAAAACCCCGACCGCCAGAGGCTCGTCCCCTCAAAACCCGACCGCCAGAGGCTCGTCCCCTCAAAACCCCGACCGCCAGAGGCTCGTCCCCTCAAAGACCCGACCGCCAGAGGCTCGTCCCCTCAAAACCCCGGAGGAGCTGTAAGCGAGGATGCATCAGTGTCTCCTCTGCGGAAGTCTTTTTCAGTCGTGATGTTTAAAACAGCTGGAATATACTAGAGATGCACCGAACGATCGGCCGGTGAGTAAGTTCTTGCGTGAGTGAAGACGACACAACGCTTGCAGTTTATAATAAGGCAAAATCAGCTGTGTCCCTGCACAGACTTCACTCAGGCGGGTCGCCGAGGTACTTTAAGGGTCGCGTCAGCATATTTGTCAGAGAAACACAGAGACATTATGAGGTTAGCAGACGGGGGAGAACTGTTAGAACTAAAATGCTGAACCTACTAGAAACAGGGTCATGTAGTCTTTCAAAAATGATCAAATAAATTATACATATAGAGGCGAACAGCAGAACAGCCTTTGTTTTCACAAGTTTTTTATGCCGTTTCATCACAAAATGCATTTTTGAGCGGTTTTGAGGCTTAAAGTCAACTGAGTAGAACTTGAATATTGGCAGTTTTACCAAAGTTGATGGTGAATCAAACATTTTCGGGGTCGAGAAGCTCCACAAGCGCCACGAGGTACGCAGTGCCGGCCGGTGCCAGTCCCGCCCACAGAGCACCCTGGTCCCAGTTACTCAGACCAGTGCAGCAGCAACAACAGAGGAAAGGCAGTTTTTCCTTTTTGTGGCGGCCAGCCACAAAAATAGGAAATAAAATAGTCATTAGTTGCAGCGCTGAAGGCTACACCAGCCGCACGTATACAATTTTACCCCCATTCACGATAGTGGAGGGCTAAACCTGAAGTTAGCCTGCTCGGCCGGCAAAAGTCAACACAGTGGATGCTGTAGCGCTGCTGCTGACTAGCGTTTGGGGTGACGGAGACACCAACGCACAAGTATAATGCTACGCGTGTAGCCCCGACGCAGGAGTATAAATGGGCCATAAGTCAGTTGTTGGAGACACATTTTAAACATCGAGGGTTCTCTGTGATCATCGCTCTAAAGGGTGGTGAAAGTTCTTACACAGACTGTTCGTCCAGCTCCATGCCGATCCTCTCCGACATGTTCTTCAGGACTCCGATTGTTCCTGACACGAGCTCCAGCTGTTCATCTTGCTGCTCCACTATCAGCTGATACAAACATTCACGTTATTTCAATGCACCGACTACATTCTTCTTTTGCTTGACATTCTTAGACCACCACACTGATACTGCACCATATCTCAGTGTTGCCGTACCTGCTGCTGGCCCTGCTGCTCCTCTATAAACTGAGTGTTGGCCTTCTGCAGTTGCTGATCCAGTCGGACGTATTTATCAGGCTGCCAGATCGGACCCTGAGCACCACGCTCGCCGAGCAGAGCCTGCACATCACAACACAAACACGCACTATCAGACACTTTACATCAGCAGCAGCTCCGTGTCCACACATGAACCTACCCTAGCCGTACTGTACAGAGGGCACGCGCATGACGTCACAGAACGCGGTTACGCTCACTGAGTGGCAGAAAGACGAGCAGCAGTGTTAGCTTGAATCAGCAAAAACACAAACAACACATCTAAAATGGGAAAGAGCTGCTGGTTCTTTGGTAAGCAGTGAGGATCGCTGTCGAGTCCGACTGCCTTTAATTTGAGCAAATAATCACTCCTGGTTTACTAAATGCAGCCATGGTAACAGATGTTCTCCACTCAGTCCAGCCTGTTCCAGAAGGGGAAGTGACATCAATGCATACCCTCTATACCCTCCAGGGGCCTCCAGGGACCTCGCTTACGCTTACCCTCACCTCCAGGGACCTAGCAAACCTTCATCCTACAGGGGTCTCCAGGTGGTGGAAACTGGTGGACTTTGAAGGGTTTCAAACTTGGGGGGCTTTGAAGTGGGATTTCTTGTTTCATTAGGGGTCCCTTAAAGACTTCAAGGATTTCAGAGATGACCACGGACCTCTGAAGAGGTATCAGCAGTGTCTCGGGAAGTTTCAGGATCTTTGAAGGAGTTTTAAATTAAGGGATCTTTCAAGGGTCCTAATAGATCTCAGAAAAGGGTTTCCAAAGGCTTTTTAAATTCTAGACACAGGTCCCTGAGCCTGGGGCCCGTGTCTCCTCTCCTCGCCTGGGCCCTCTTCGGCAGGGGTGGGGCTCCAGCTGCTTCCCCCTGCCAGCTCCTCACAGTGGGGGCATTCGGGAGTCTCTGGGGTCATGGCCGGTGTTGTCGGGGTAGGTTTTGGTGCTCCTCAATGGGGGCGCTTGACTGGGGGGGCCTGGGCCCCCGTCTGGGGATGAGATCGGCCTCGGGGGCTGCTGGCACTGCCTGCACTCTGGGGAGGGATGCCTCTGGCTGGGCTGGGGGACCGTTGGCCTGGTTCTCCCGCGTTATCGCTCCCTGGCGGCGGGGAGCTGTCCTTCCTTGGGGCGGCGGGGAGCTGTCCTTCCTTGGGGCGGCGGGGAGCTGTCCTTCCTTGGGGCGGGGTACAGCTTCCCCCGGGACATGCGGTCTGGGGTCCTTTGCGCTTTGGGGTGTTGTGGGGTGCCCTGGCTTCTGGGGGTGGGGGTCTCTGCGCGGGTTGATCCGGTTTGTTTGTTTTTGTTTGTTTGTTGTTGTTTTTCTCCTCCCCAAGCCAGGGAAGGGGGAACACAGAAAGCAACGAAACCTGCAAGAGAAGCTCTGTTCTCTTGCAGGTTTCGTTGCTTTCTGCACTTGGTGTTTCCCACTGCTTTTCCCTGTTGTCCCCACCTTCCACCCCCCTTCTCTTACAGGCCTTTCTCTGTGCTGTCTGTTTGTGCCCCCCATCCCCGTGTCTGCCCCCTGTCCGGACCGCTGACAAATCAATACATAATTAATAACTAATAAAACAGACAAAGGAGTATTTTAATCCTCTCTTGTTAAAGTAAAATCTGTCTGGCACAATATGGTGTCCAGCTCATCACACTCTCTACCAGGCTGCTGGGCAGGACAGGTTTAAAAATTTAATTAAATTCTAGCACAGTCACACAGCTGTAGTCGGGTAGGTCACCTGGTGATGTGTACTTCAGGTGTGTGCATATACCTGTTTGTTCTTTCTGTCCACTGAGGCAGCAGCTGGAATCGACATCTGATCTTTCATTTCCTTTAAGAGAAGAAAAGTCAGTCAGCACCAAATCGGATGGACCAATTCTTCAGATCCACATCAAACCGGCCCGTAGCAGCTCCATAATAAACAATAAGAAGAGTATTTTTAAACACATAAACCTACAGATATAAACAAACAGTGACCACGAGTACGATTAAATAAAGAAGCTGCTGTCTGTGGACTGAAGACAGGTGACTGATGGCGTTAGAGGACCTTGACAGTCTGTCTGGTGCTGGTGATGAAGGCTTTCCTTTTCGACAGCTCGGCCGCGTCCAGGTTGAACTTCTTTGGGTTGGACTCAACGATGCGTTCACAGACAGTTAAGAAACACGTTTGTCTTTAAGTGTTGCACTTCCAAAGCACACATCACAGCTGAGACGCAGCTCTTTAAAGGATATTGATGGTCTCGTCGAGGTCCTCCAGGTCCCACTCGATGGAACGCAGGCTGTTCCTCAGCTCATTGGTCGTCCAGTCCATTTCCTCCTTGGAGGCTCCGCCCCCCTCCTGTAGCAGCTCGCACCATCTGTGATGGAGGCTCTGAGCTGCGTTCACTGCCTTCTGTACCTCTCTGTTAACAAACAAACATAAAACATAAGCTGTGGTTATCCAGTACGGTCTGGACCACGGGGTTGGGTCAGACTCCAGGTTTGCCGGTCTGGTCTTAAGTATGAACTCTGAGAGTAGTTTGTCATTATGAGATGTTCTGGTCTGAGCCCAGAAGTCAACTCTTTAATTATGTTCTGCAGCTGCTCAGAAATGTAACCGCCCCCTCGCTGACGGTTCAAACTACAACTCAGCACAAACTGGAAAACAACCGTTTCTATCTAAAGCTATCAAACGTCTTCAAATAGGTCTCCTCCTCTCACGGAATGACCTCCTAGATCCACATCAGGCTGGTTTTAAGAGTGGCCGCTCTACTGAAACCCTGAGCCCTAAGGTCAACAAGAGCTGCAGCCCGGTCCTCGGTTCTTATCCTGCTCGACCTATCAGCATCAGCCCAAAAGGACTCATGTCCCTCCATTGGCTCCCCGGGCCTCCAGAATCTAATCAGAGTCCCTGATGCTGCATACAGAGCGACTCCTGGGTCTGCACCATCTACCTGAACTCCACAATCCAAGCCCACGTTCCTTCTCGGCCGCTACGCTCCTCCAACGAACGCCGCCTGGCTCTGCCATCCCGTCACACAAAGCGACCTCAGTCCCTGTTCTCATCTGTGACGAGCTACCGCACGCCATCAGAGCAGGGGCGTCCCTCTCTGACTTCAAGAAGCTCCTGAAAACTCTGCAGAGAACACTTCCTCTGATAACACCTCTGACATCACTTCCTGCGCTCTTCTTCTTCTGCCTCCTAACAGGACTCCTATTCGTTAACTCTTACTTCTTCCTCCAGGCGTTCACCCCACTGATGCCGCACATCACATCACATGAGTAACCGTAGCAACAGAAGCGTCCATGCTGTGAAAACTCCTCAGTCCAGCACTGCATGATGGGTACCGCTGCCTCCATGTTCCTGCTCGACAGCCGCGGCTACAGTTACTATTGTTATTATTAATTATATCAACATTTGTGTCATTAGTACTATTATTCATCTCACTGACGTCTGAACTGTGATATTACTCATCACTGCACATGGAGGGCTGGAGACACAAACACCAACATGAAAACACACTTTACTGACTCACAAACATGCGAGTCTGAATTTCTGCTGAAAGACACAGAATAAACCTTTAAATCAGTTTCACATATCAAGTTTTGTACCCTGAACCAGAAGAGCGTTAAACTCACAGTCATGTTAATGACGTCACTCCTGCGTTAGTGTGTAAATGTGTGTACATTGTTAGTATGTGTGTACTATGTGTAGTTTGTGAGGAAAAACACTGAGGACAACAAAGAATGAATCTGCTTCACAACTAGAGAAAACTATTAATAATTAATTAAAGATCTGCTGGTTCTTCCAGCTGCACACACATTTGATCTCTTATTATCTTCACTTTTCACCATATTTTAATATTTAGATTCATTCAGGGACAGAAAACGCTGCAGTTTGCTTTAACATGACAGCAACATGCTAACGCCACCAGGCTAACACCACCATGCTAACACCACAGCAACATGACAGCAACATGCTAACGCCACCAGGCTAACACCACAGCAACATGACAGCAACATGCTAACACCACACCAACATGCTAACACCACAGCAACATGACAGCAACATGCTAACACCACAGCAACATGACAGCAACATGCTAACGCCACAGCAACATGACAGCAACATGCTAACGCCACAGCAACATGACAGCAACATGCTAACACCACACCAACATGCTAACACCACAGCAACATGACAGCAACATGCTAACACCACAGCAACATGCTAACACCACAGCAACATGACAGCAACATGCTAACACCACAGCAACATGACAGCAACATGCTAACGCCACAGCAACATGACAGCAACATGCTAACGCCACAGCAACATGACAGCAACATGCTAACACCACACCAACATGCTAACACCACAGCAACATGACAGCAACATGCTAACACCACAGCAACATGCTAACGCCACCAGGCTAACACCACAGCAACATGACAGCAACATGCTAACGCCACCAGGCTAACACCACCATGCTAACACCACAGTAACATGCTAACACCACCAGGCTAACACCACAGCAACATGACAGCAACATGCTAACGCCACCAGGCTAACACCACCATGCTAACACCACAGTAACATGCTAACACCACCAGGCTAACACCACAGCAACATGCTAACGCGACCAGGCTAACACCATCATGCTAACACCACAGCAACATGCTAACGCCACCAGGCTAACACCATCATGCTAACACCACAGTAACATGCTAACGCCACCAGGCTAACACCACAGCAACATGCTAACGCCACCAGGCTAACACCATCATGCTAACACCACAGTAACATGCTAACGCCACCAGGCTAACACCACAGCAACATGCTAACGCCACCAGGCTAACGCCACCAGGCTAACACCACAGCAACATGCTAACAAAACACTGGCCGCTAACGTTAGCATAGCCGTCTGTAGCCTCCGTGGCTACATTCATCACTGACTAGCTTAGCGATCAGCTCTGCGCAGGCTAACACTAGCCTGTTAGCATTAGCTCGATGTAAAGAGTTCTGACCCCTTGACGACGAAGAACGGGTCTTCCATAGACATGTTGCTGCTGGTTCCGACTCAGTCGCAGCGGCGCTCCATCACACGGACTGTCGGCTGAACGGGACCGGGTTCACCTCGGCTCTGATCAGACCTCCATCAGACCCGCCGCTGCTGCCGCTGAACTGCTTTGTTTACAAGCGGCGGCGGCTTCCGCAGCGGAAACGACCCCGTGACGTCACACACACGTTGGTTCCTCTGTCCCCGCGAGGACGCCTCAATGACGTAACGTTACAACAGGTATTAAAGTCAGAAGGTTTTAAGAGGTGCGCTCGAGCTGACTGCAGCTGACATGAGAGGCGATTTAATTTCTTTGCAAATGCCGCGAGATCAGTCGGTGATCTCAGCTCACAATGAACGTGTCCCACTTGTCTTTTTATTCCCCGACCCTGCGGTCACCTGCAGCTCACCTTAGACTATCAAGTCGGCGAAAGTCAGCCGCCGTCATCTCGAACGCACCTAATTTCTACCCAGCATGCCTTATTTTAAGTCCAGCATGCATCACGTTAAGTCAGCGCCGCATCAAGTCAAACGCACCTAATGATCAACGCTGGAGCGCCTTTCTGTAAATCTGTTGAGAAGTTTTCCAGCTGGAATGACTGTGACATATTATTCAAACACAGATCTATATTTTTCCACAGTTGCTTTAACAATAATATTCTTTTTCTAATGAACCATTCTGAACGCTTGTCTTTCTAAAACGTCCCTGCTGTTGTAACGCAAGGCGGGAGGATCTTATTAAAGGGGAACCAAAGGCGTCACTGTGTTGAGAAGTGTGTGGGGGGGGGGGCATTTAGGGGCTCATGTTAGGCCGAAACAGTTGGGCCACGAGACGTGATAATGGAGTCCCAGAACAAGACAACAAGATACTCCAATGCTATTTAGTATTAAGTATTCATTGATGAAAAAGGTTACTTGATGGGGGGGGCTCCTCCCCCAGAGGATTTTGAGCATTAAACTCTTAATTTCCTGCATTCTAGAGACATTTTCTATTTATTTATGGTGGAAATGTCTTTATTTATATGAAGGGAAACAAAATTCAGGTCGCCGGTGACAGTTCAGAATATAGAAATGTTATTGAATACAGTGCAGAAATCAGCAGCTTGTTTTTTAGCCTAAGTTACTTTTTTGGACAATGCAGATCTGTTTATTCTATATTTACATGAACATTTTATTCATCCATTCATTGTGTGCAAGTAAAACTTTCTCATAGAATTGTTATTTGTTATTTAACATTTCTTGTCGTGAGCTAATTTGCAGAAAACTTTTAGCAAATGCTTTCAAAAAGAGGTGAAGACAAAATCAACCATTTAAAAAAGTGGTGGGAACGCGTCCCCAGCGTCCCCAGCGTCCCCAGTGTAAATGACACCTGTGACGGTAACACTGAAGCGCTTCTCTCTACCTGTCTGTTGTGGTTAAATGGCGCCGTGAAGAGAAGACGTTTGGACCATCAGGACACTTGATCACAAACAAACCTCGAGATGTTTCAGACTTGTCCGTCGGTGTGACCCAGAGAGAGACATCACCTTTCTGATGGTGAAACAACCGTTCACTTGTGTTATTCAGGGCTTCAGCCCAAAATATACCTGCTGGAACCTTTCTGTCCGTTTTTCACTGCTGTTCAAAGATGTGCTGTTTTTATGGTCTGCAGTTTAGAACATAATCACATTTTTATGTTTTTTGTTTTTGTTTTTATGTTTTTATGAATGGAAATAAATGCAAACTATTCAGACTCTTCAGAGCCCAAAGCCTTAAAGACTCGTGATACAGGTAAATTTATTAGAAGCCTGAACTGATTAAATGTTTTATTCTTTATTTATAGTTTTCCTCTTAAAGAGGTGGATATTTGTACTGGAGTTGCAATAAAGACAGATGCATCCCCAGCTGAACCTTCCACAGTCTCCTGCTGCTCTGTTTACTGAAAACCTGAAGAGGGAGAATATCTGGACTCTGGCTCTGCAGCAGATTCTGGAAAGATTCAACATTTTATTGGGAACATCGACTCTGAATTCTGTCTTTGATGGAAAAATTAACTGTTTGGCTTTAAACAGAAAACAGAACGAATTAATCCCAATCAAGCTTTTGATGATTCCTGGAGAGTCAAATTTAGTCTTCACTCTAAACCTTACTTAGTGAAAAGGAAACAGAGCAGCACATTAATAACATCTCAGATCAGACAGCGTCTCGAGCCCCCACGGTGACCCCAGTCCCCACCGGGAGGCCCGAGTCACACATAACCAAGGCGGAGTTCAAGAACGAGACGCCGATCGATAAGCTGGAACCCTCATCTGTTGACGTAGTAAAATAAAAGAACCCACAGAGAGCGCGATCGACTGCGAGACAGCTGATTTATTGGCTCCTTAACATCGACAAGTTATGGACTTACATTAATAAATGAAACTGTGGTTTAGGAGGTAGAGCGGGCTGCCCGTAAATCAAAAGAGCGGCGGTTCAATCCCCGGCTCCTCCAGGCTGCGTGTCGAAGTGTCCTTGGGTAAAACCCTGCACCCCCTGCTGGCTGTGAATGTATGTGATGTGTGTAAAAAGTGCTTTGAGTGGTTTTAGAAAAGCTCTCTAACAGAGCATTTCCAAGATGACCGGCGGCGCAACGACAAATCAAAAGCTAAAGGACCGAGAACAAGGACAGCTGCTGCGGAGACGGTTATATATTTAAACCTACGGTGAGTCGGCTGTCAGAGCTGAGCGGACTGTGTTGAAATCTTTGACCTTTATTTCTCGATTCCAAAATGTTTTGTAATGGAGAAACAAACAGCCACAGATTTCAGATCAGCCTTCATTTCCTCTGAAGAAGCCAACAAAACTTCAGCTGACAGACGACACAGTTACTTTCTCCAGTTTAACCTGCTTCCTGTCTGCTCCTCGCGGCAGACAGGAAGTTGAATCACTGTCTGATGACACTTTCTGTGGGAGGGTTCACTCAGGCCGTGGTTGTTTTATTGTAAGTTTCCTTTGATTCTGATATTCTTTTAAACGCCTTTGTTGACTCCCTCTGGGGGCCACAGCTGCGGCCTCTACGCCGGAGTGCAGGACGCTGGAGCACTTTTAATTTCACACGAACACCTGAAAACAAACAGGGCATTAAAACCGCAGCTCTAACTGAGCCTTCTGGGCTGGAGACCAGACGAGAGTCTGTAACCAACACAGCTCTACTTCGCATGAGATGAAAAATGGCTCCGTTTTTAAAACCTGGTTACCAACGTAATTTACAGAAGCAACAGGAACTGAGAAGAAGGTGATCTGCTGCCGTTCTCTTTGCTTCTTGTGGCTGCAGCGTCTCCCAGTTTGTTATCAGCCCACCGCGTCTCGTCTGCTGTCTCTATAAATAACACGTCCTCTCTCCGCGTCGTCCCGCTCGGGCTGCATGTTTTTCATCTGTCTGGCATTTTGTGTGAAACAGCAGAGTCTCCGCAGCTTCACAAATACATTTCCAAAATGGCGAGTTGATGTGCAGATGATGACACACGAGTTGTGAAGCAGAGGCACAGAAACATCAGCTGCAGCGAGGAGGCAGCCATCTTGGCTGCAGATCAGAAGGTGCTGATGTAATCTAACAAACACACGGCGCTCCTCCAGATGAGACGTGAAGCACAGGAGAGTCTATGATATCACAAGCTGCACCGAGACCAGGAACTGAAGCCCTGAATCAAGCAGACGATCGTTCACTACTGCAGCGCAGCTGGAGCCACAAGGTGTCTCAGATCAGTTTTATCTAAACTCTACCAGCGGAGATCCCCCACCAGGGAACACAGACCCGGGCCCGGGTCTTCCTTCCTCTTCTGACGTGAAGCGTTTGCTTCTGTTGTATTTCTATGGAGGGACGAGGGCCCAGACGGGTCAGGGGCCCCGGAGCCTCTGACTGAAGGGTTCTTGTATGAAAGTCAACGTTGCAGAAGTGAAATCAAACGGTCAAACCTCAGTTTAAGAACTGAGACGGAAGCAGGACCCAAATCTACCCTGGAGGAGCAGGAGCGCCGCTCCGCCCGGCAAATCCACCCTCAGAGTCACAGTAACCTAAACTGATGAATGTGTGACTGCAGCGTTCACAGGCGGCAACGCCATTGTTCTGCGTAGAACAATAACACTGAGAACAGAAGCTGTTCTCTGCTGCAGCTCCGGTTTCAGGGGATTCTGCTGCTTAACAGCATTAATGTTACTTTATCAAATGTGTTTTACTGGTGTAAGTGAGGGATTGTAAAAGACATTTGGTGTTTGACACCTCAGATGATCATCTGCTCCTGAACCCCCCTCAGCACCGCCACAGTGCTGTTGAAGCTTCCTGTGTCCTGCAGGTGGTCCTGGTCCAGATAGCTAACCAGCTCTGACCCTGATCCACCTGCAGCCAAGGTGACCCAGAGGATGGTGCTGATCACTACGTCTGTCTGGTGTTCTCAGGGGCTGATGGGCTGGATGGTGGATCTCTTTGTCTTGGTTCCTCCGTTGGTCAGTTCTCAGGTTTTGGACCGTCTTTGGTTCAGTGGCCGAATGCGGCACCTTCTGCTGCGTCTGCACCTCCCGTCCAGACTAAAACGGTGAAAACAAAGACCTAAGACGGAGAAGTTTGGAAATGCTGCCGACCCGTTCTGCTTCTCAAAACTCCGGAGGGCGTTTTAGTGCGGACGAGCCAAAACGGAGGACTTTAGAAACGAGGACGCAGCCGCTCACACTCGGCTCTCTGATTGGCTCTCATAAGTCATGCAAAGCAGAAACACGACGCTGCTGACGGAGTTTTTGACCTGGTATTTTTATTAAATATTCTGTACTCTATTCTTCGTCTGTAGGCTGTTTATTTATTCTTTCGCCAAATCTTGTGTAACTACAGAACAGACCACCTGCTTCACGTTTACACGCCCAGTGCACGTGAACGGCCAATACATCGACATTTTAATGTAGACAGAGATCAACTCTGATACGCAGCTAAAACTGTGGACGGAGATCGTGTTTGTTTCAGTTCTCCGACGGCCTGAGTCTGGTGTCGGTCCAGACGAGCCATCCTGCCGACAGCACCGAGGTTGTTATGGAATAAAAGTCTTACTTGGCAGGTCTCCACAGCCAAACCAAAGACCTCCTTCATGTGCGTATTCTTATACACTGAGGGGGCATGTGGGGGAGGGCTGTCATGTAAAGGTCTCACACAGTTCTCTGGTTTGATGCTAGAAACAGCATCCTGCAGTTCCCCTTTTCTCTGAAGCTCTCTTTTCTATTCTCGGACTCTAAACCAGACAAAGCCCTAG